GAAAATTGTTAGTGGTTGTTAAAGTTGCACTTTGGTATGAGTTGTGGACTTCACTGATGGATCTTAGTTGGATTATTTTTCTCTTAAGTGATCTCATTACTGAGCAAGCTCTCATCCTATTGCACAGAGACGAAATTGAGGAGGCCCCCAACAAGAGGAACGCATTGGCTAGCCTCACGGACGATGTCATTGTCGAGATCCTCCACCGCCTCCCCGCCAGCTCCTTGTTCTGCTGCAAATGTGTCTGTCGCTCCTGGAACTGCCTCATCAAGGACTACAACAACCATAAGGTGCTGCCTTGGACTCTAGTCGGCTTCTTCTACGACACCGACCAAGGCCATCGACACTACACCAGAGTCACCGGTGAACAACAGGGGCTCGATATGTGGTCTATTAAGAACCTAAAACGTGCAAGAACCAAGGATGGCCACGTTGTCCAATAACAAGGTGACATGTACCCGAACCATCTCCAATACAACCGGCTATAGCAGGTACACGTGGAAAGCATCTCCAACGGAAGCAACCGCCAACGTGGATGCCCCCTTGCCACGCATGCCAAAGCAGTTCTATGACGAATTTCTAGAATCGTCATAGAAGTTAAGGAATGATACGACTTCTATGATGAACCATTTTTCGTCATAAATTCGTCATAAAACTTAAATTATGACGAATTTGGCTCCTTCAGTGACGAAAACTGATCGTCATTGAAGTGGAGATTCCTAGTAATGCTAAACCCTCCCCTAACTTGTTTAGCTTTAGTCTAACCTTGCTTGCATACATATTAAGTATCCTCTTTCATGTTGCATGTTTCTCTAGCATCATGTTTCTTCGAGTTATCGCTTTCCAACTCTTTTTAATCCTCTCCTAATCTCCTTATCAAGCATTCATTTATCTTCGTTAATAGGGATCATGTGCATAGGGATGGCAGTGGGGCGGTTTTGGGTCGGTGCCCCACGGGTTTTGGGTCCAGCGGGTGTGGGTCTGGGGGGCGATTACACCCCCCCACAAACACATTTTTTGATTCGGGGACCCAAAACTTATCGGGTTCGGTTTTGGGTTTTGGTTTCCACCCGCAGATGTCCAATGGAGGCCCGAAATAGATCATTTTAAATAAAGATGCATGTATTTTGTTCTTAAATTATTTATGAAAGCTATTAAGTTTGTCCTAAGTTGAGTCATGGAATTGTGTGTTGTTTATTGTCTCTTGTTTATACATGTGAATATGTACTATATATATCATGCATGTGTTGCTAGAAATTCCTTATTGCTCTTTTGTATTGTGATATAGTGGTGAGTTTTAGGTTTCGAGGATCCAATGGATTTGGTGGCGGGTTTGGATTACCATTCAAATCGGTGTTTGGGGCAGTTTAAGGTTTCGAATTCAGATTTCGGGTTCAGGTCCGCGGAGACTCCACCCAATCCGAATCTGCCCTATTGACATCCCTACACATGCATTGTAAGGAATGATGATGAGAAGTCATGATGGTCCAAGACCATCTAATTGTCATGACAAGTAGGCATCACTACTGATAAGAACCCTATTTTGGTTACCTATTGCCCATTTTAGTATATGTTAGTTCATGTAGATGTTAGCCTTATATCATGTCTACCTATGCATTTCTAATGTAATGTTTCCACCTATGTCCTAGCAAGCCTTAATAATTTATCCACCTGGGATGGGATGTTAAATTGATTACTATGCTTAGCAATTGTAGAAGTCGAGCATGGCCTGGAACTTATGTCCGCGAGCTTATAGCTTCATGATTCACTTGCAATTTAATGAACTAAAACTTACCAAGATAAGGGCAACCTTTGATATGATATTAAAAGTGTTGAACTAGAGTCTAATGACAATCTTATAATTGATCTTATCTTGATGTTGAAACTTGAAAAGGTAGGCGAGGGGTAAGACCATTGCGAGAAGGGATCTCAAATAGTGTAGCTTGCTTGTGCACCCTAAAGGACCATTGCGTCTTTTTGTAGTGAGTGTTGGAACATCCCCATACAGACCACATGCCAAGTATCAAAGTTTGGGATTGTTGGCAAGCTTAGTACCTTGTGTTGACTAGGTAACCCCATGGGTTTGGCGCGGTGTGGGGCGTGGGGTAGCTAAAAGTAGATAGTATCCCACCACATGATCAAACCTCTCATGGGAGATTTGGCCATACTCAGGAACCGTTTGGAGGCATGAATCAACCCTTATTCGGGCACGAGTATGGAGGTTCGATCCTTACTTTCCGTGTGAGTATAGTTGTACATCTCTGCAAAGCTTTGACTTCATCCTTGTTTTGTGATTCTATCTTCAGAGTAGAAGATCCTAAATTGTTGAGGAGAACTTTAGTTATGGTTATTCAACTTGGTCTAGTTTTAAAAATGTTTTTAACCTAACTAATTAAAATATTGAACATAGCATGTCATTCTTTAACAAACGCCATACTTTTCTCAAAACTGAACAAACAACCCAATTTCCTTCTTGCATTCACCAAAGGATTATACTTATCCATATATTGGTATAAACGATACAACCGTTAAGCTGCACCGACAATCAAGACGGCCACTTGACTCATATGGCCCTGTTCGCTTGGCTGAATTTGGCTAAAAATACTGTTCCGGCTAAAAAAAGAAGCCGAACAAGCCGCCTTTTAAGGTCAGCCGAACGGCACCATAATCAAGTTAGATCGAAGGCATACAAGTAGACGAGATGGGCGCCTCATTCTGCTTCACGTGACTATCTCCAACAATGGAACCCAAAATACAAGACCCATATCATGTTTGGGTAGCGCTACAGATAAATGCTTCAATACCTATTTTTTATCTTTTTCAACAACAAGACCCAAAAAAGAACCCTTTCTGCAAATAGATCTCGAGAAGAGAGGATACTCAGATTTAGATTGTGTCTCTCTTAGAACCCAAAATGGGTCTCATGTATAGGTACTCTGTTGGAGGTCGATACAGTAAGCCCATTTTGCATTTGGGTGCCCTTATAGGTCACCCGTTGAAGACAGTCTAAAGCTCGAAGAGTGACTACAAACCGAACAGACTCAAGACCTAGTATAGACTAGTGGCCTTATTTTGATAATAAAATCTCCTTTTTTATTTGAGACTTACTTTCTTCCATCTAAACTTAATAAATTAATACTTATGTTGTTCTTGTATCGTGAATGTAACCGATGGTTTGGGAACGCTCTTGAGATGTTAATATCGAGTTAGTGGATCTCGGAGGTTTACCTTAGTTCGAGTTAATCGGATGGACATACTCGAGTTAAGTTAATTAATTGACCAGGGTCCTTGCACCCTTCTTCCTAGCAAGGGGTGGCTCCTGTTCATCAAGAGCTCGCTCCTAGTTTAGCCCCGTTCGTCTTTCATAAAGGGTAGCTGTGCCTGATACTTATTCCAATCAGATCATATTTTCTTGCAGGGCCGCCGTCCCCGATATTTTTGGTGGGCCAGTGCAAAATTCAAAATGAGAGCCTATGGCCCCGTTCGCTTCGCTGAAAAACAAGACGAAATACTGTTCCGGTTAATTTGTTATAAGAGAAAAATAATATTCCGGCTGAAAAAAAAGCTGAAAAATACAAATTATAAAAGAAGCGAACATGACCATGTATAAAAACAGTTACTTTAAAAAAGTATGTTTTTTTTGTTGATCCTGTTAGCAGTATAACTTTTCGATTATATCTTGCCAAAAAAAAAAAGGACTTCAGCTCTGCAAATTGAAGCAATCGGCAACTGATTTCAAAACCTGGACAAGTTGTCCTGACAAACAAACTATTAGAACAAAACATTCATTACAACAGATTTTAGGAGCATGTGACATCATCCCAGGAAGTAGCTGAAGCTGAAACAATAGCACACCCACAAGCATCAGTGTTTCTTGTTGGAAACAAAGACACCACCACCAGGAGGCATTTCTTGATGCATGGGGAAAATCTGTGCAGCACACACATACAGACCGAGATCTAGACAACCAGTAGCAGGACAGGAGTTTGGGCATCTCAATCAATAGAACATCATTTACAGGACCTTTAACAGTTAACATTGCACCAAACAAATAACTTAGCCTTCTTAAAAAATAAATGCTACTATGCCACACCACCACTAACCGCATATCTATTCTGGACCAGTTACAAACAGGAAGTGCCAAAAATTAATCGACTATACCACACACTCGAGGTCCACACATTTACCTACCGTTAACATCCACAAGCCTAGCACAGCACCAAATAAAATGGGACCAGAATCCCAGAGGGCAACCAGAGCAGAGGCTAACCAATTTACCAAAGACCATTTACAAAATACATCATGTTGCTGATATCCTCAAGGATCTATATACTGCACTCCTCTGTGGACCGCTGAAGGTGGGAGCACAGAATAGTAAACAGTGACAGTGATCTCATTGAGGATAGCAGCAGCAGATTGCAATTTTTGAAATACCCTTATCAAAGGGGCAAAGAAATGGTGCGAGACAATGGACACTACTATGACCTATGGACCACCTTTCACAAATAAATTATCTACAGCAACAATAAGTAATGGATTGATCACTCTTGATCCTCCACATTCTGGATTTTGCAAGAAAATGTTCCGTAGTATTAACTTGATGATGATGTGTCGACCTCCTTCCCATGATCTCCATTTATTGTTCTTCGCAATCTTTTCAACCATATGTCATAGTCCATTGGGTAGGTTCCGCAAAGGCTGTCAACATAATCCGCAAAAGCTTTTAACACTGCTGAGACGTCGCCCAACTTCTGCTGTATAACTCTCCTCGACCACGATGTCTCCCTCCACTGAAGGGCACTTTCAACCGAGTCAAGCTCTGGGCAAACTCCACCGCAAGAGAAATATAGAAGATAGATTAAACTTTCTGCATCAGATGCTGCACATTGCTTGCCTTCCTGGAGCGCAAACGTAGATGAGAAGAACAGATTCATTACAAGTCGTTCCCTATCTTCTAGGATAGCATGACCCCATCCAATAAGCACAAAATATGGATGGCTTCAACCATTACTGACACGGATCACATTCTCTGGCCGGATATCACTGTGACGGACTCCTGCAGATGCTGCTGCAGCAAGAGCGGATAAACAGTCATGGCAACATCTCAGTGCCTCCTCAACACCGAACAATCCATTCCGTATCAGATTTGAAATGGTCTGACCATCTGGTGAGGTGACAAGAATTGGAGTACTGCACCATGGATGACCACAATTTCCATTTGAGTTAGGCTTATTGCATGTGCCTGGATGGATGACCCGCCCAGAAGATGCCATATGTGGTATATATCTGCTAGAAATGCCTCTTTGCTTCATCAAAGACAGTACTTTGGTCTGCCTCTGCACTTGGTACCAGGAATTCATATCCTCCCATGCTGGTTCCAAATGAGACGGGCTGGAGCCTACATACAGTAAATAAGTTTTGGTAGGTTCTTCTACAGGAGTAGAAGTATAAATATGAGGATCACTGTCTGTTAGGATGTCATTGATTTGAAAACCTTTCTGTATGTAAGCATCATCCATCAATACAACAGATTCTATTTCAAGCTTCAAGGTTTCCTGTGGTTTCACATCAACAGCTGGTTCCTCCGGTACTTCGACAATTTCAGGAGAATGACTTGGCTGTTGGAACTGAAATAAACCATGACCATTAGCTTGTCTGTCAACAAAATGTCTTTCTGATCTTCGACTTTGTAGTCTTGAACTATGTTCTGTGGCAAGTTCATCAAGAGAATACTTAGGTTCTCCATAAAATTGGATCATTGAGAGGAATATAGCCATGAGAACTTGAAGGGTCCCAATGTCTCCCCAGTTAGCATTCCCAAGTTTGTTCCATACTCGATCTATAGAAGAAACTGAAATCTCGGCATGTTTCTTTATCCATTCAGCAGCACAGTAATAAACATTGTTCAGATCAAAATCCAGTTTGTTCAAATCTCCTTGGACCTTTACCACTCTTCCAAACTGTGAATAAACAAGAAGCAAGTAAATACAATCTGAATTGCGAAGAACAGTGGAGGATCTGCAAAGGCTTCGAGATAGTAGGACACAGGACACGCAAAGCAAAGAACAGTGCCTCCCCTAAGACAGCAGGAGATGGCTCCTGGTCACCCTTTGCGGAAACCATTCCAATATCAGGTCTCAACAAAGCCAACACGACAATATAATCCCACCTTCCTTGTGAATGCTTCAAATTCTTCAGCAGTACCGAAGTAGCACAAACACCATCAAGTTTTCCACTGCTAATAGCCTTCTCAGCAGGATAAAACTTGGAACTTGAGCTGTGTATACAGGCAACTGAGGAAGGTATTGCCTCATCAGGGCCCCAGAAAGTTTCCCACAATCCTTTAATGCCTGCATGAAGGAAATCCTCCAAAGCAAGATGTCAAGGGCGTACTGATCCCGGGTAGCAGGCCCTCGACTACGGAGCTCGTAGCCTCCGGCCAAGTCTTCCAGGGCGGAGGTTATACCCCTCACAGCCGCCTGGGCTTAAGCACGATCGAGAGAGAGAGAGGAAGGAGATAGGTAATTGATCTTGCTTAATTTCCAATAGTCCGAGTACAATCCATATAAGAGCCAACCGGCCAACTAATTTTGGAAACAAACCCCCCTAATTTTGTGGCCTGATCTCCTCCTGGCCACTAGGATTGGCCTCTGCCATCTGTGTTCATGATAGACGCTTGGCAAGCTGCGTCATGCGCGCCCTCGCTCTCCGCGGCCCGCTTCGGCTGCCCTGCAGGCGTCGTCAAGGCCGGCGGCGTCGCAGCATCTGTCATGCCCCACATGACATCTCTCCCCTCCTCGTGAAGCAGCTCGTCCTCGAGCTGGAAGAGTGGGAACCGCTCTCGGAAGGTATCGAGGTCCTCCCAAGTTGCAGACTCCGGTGGTTCGCCACGCCAATGGACAAACAACTGGCGTACTCCACGCGCCAGGCGGGCACGCTCCACCCGAGCAGGCTCCGGGGTCACCGCGCCATGGTGGATGGGCGGCAAGGCTGGTGTAGTCGACGGAGGCGTGCCGACGAACTTCTTCAAGACGCTGACATGAAAGACGTCGTGGATGCGCGCCTACGGAGGGAGAGCCAGGCGAACCGCGACGTCGTTGATCAGCTCCTCAACGCGAAACGGCCCGACGTAGCGTGGCTTCAGCTTGCCCGTGGTAGCTTGCGGCAGGGAAGACATGGTGCGCTGACGAAGTCGAAGCAGCGCCCACTTGCCCACTTGGTAGGACACTTGGCGATGGCGACGGTCGTAGTGGCGCTTATGCACTGCTGCGCTGCTTTGCTCCAGCGGTAGTGGACGTCGGCGGGAAGGCGGCGCGCTCTCTCGAAGTCGCCTTCGCAACGACCACCGAGTTTCCCGTGCTCGTATGAGCGGAGGGTGGGCGGTCACGGCCGTGAACCACGCGAAACGGCGTCTCCGGAGTGAAGTCTCGGTAGGCCGTGTTGTACACGCATACTCGGCCGAAAGCCACCGCAGCCTTCGCCGAGGTCGATCACCGTGAAACACACGAGGTACATGACGATGACGCGGTTAGCGGACTCCGTCTGGCCGTCCGACTGGGGGTGGAAGGCGGACGACATGTGCAGCTTGGTGCCCATAAGCCGCATTAACTTCGCGCCAAAACAAATATGTGAACACCGGTCGCGGTCGGAGCGATGGGCTGCGGCATGCCGTGCGAAAGCACAATGTCGGTGAAAGAACGCTTGGGCCCGCGGTCTCGGCGGTGTCTGGTGCGCCAGGGGATGAAGTGGCGATATTCTTTGAAGCGGTCGACGACGGAGAGGATCACTGATTTACCGTTTACCCGCGGCAAAGCTTCCACGAAATTGAGGCCAATGTCGGCCCAGACCGCGGTGGGAACTGGCAGCGGTAAGAGGAGGCCGGTGGGGTGGAGGTGCTCCGTCTTGTACCGCTGGCAAGTGAGGCATTCCCGCACAAAGTCCTGCACACACCGACGCATATTGGGAAAGTGAAAGTCACGGCGAAGTCGATGCAGCGTGCGCTGCACCCCCTCGTGGCCGTCATCGTGGATGGCCGCCACGATCTCCTGCAGCAGCGGTGACGACGGCGGTATGTACAGCCGGCCCTCGAAGGTGACGAGGCCGTCTGTGATCGCCCACGGCGCAGTTCGGGTGCCGGCGGCGAACTCGTCGTGCACGGCCACCAGGGCTGGGTCCGTGGCTTGTGCTTGGCGGAGACGACTGATGAAGTCGAATCGGGGCCCAGAGACCGCCAGGATCGTGCCCACCGCGGCATCCTCGGTGTCCCGCCGGGATAGAGCGTCAGCCACCGTGTTCGTCGCGCCGGCCTTGTACTCCACTGTGAAGTCGAAGCCCAACAGCTTGCCGACCCAGTGATGTTGCGGGATCGTGGCGAGGCGCTGGTCGAGGAGGTACTTGAGGCTGTAGTGGTCCGTCTTGACGCAGAAACGACGCCCCCAGAGGTACGGTCGCCAGTGGCGGACGGCGAGGACGAGGCCGATCAGCTCCCACTCGTAAGCGGCCAGCGAGCGATGGCGGGAAGCCACCGGCCGACTGAAGAAAGCGATCGGGTGGCCCTCCTGGATGAGCACCGCCCCGAAGCCGTACGTGGATGCATCACACTCCACGATGAAGGGCTTGGTGAAGTCCGGAAGCGCCAGCACCGGCGCCGAGGTCACGGCCCCTTTGAGGGCGAGGAACGCTGCTGCGGCGTCGTCGTTCCAAGAGAATCCTTCCTTCTTTAGAAGCGCGGTGAGGGGAGCAGCGATGGAGCCGAAGTTGTGGACGAACTTCCTGTAGTAGCCTGCGAGACCCAGGAAGCCGCGCACCGCGCGCGCCGAGCGAGGCTGCGGCCACTCATGGATGGCTTGGACCTTGGCGGGGTCCATGGCCACGCCGGACGCCGAGATGGTGTGGCCGAGGTAGCTGACGGAGTCGACGCCGAACGAGCACTTGGACCTCTTGACAAAGAGGCGGTGTTGGCGTAGGAGGGACAGGACGACGCGGAGATGACGCAGATGGTCGGCCCAGCTCCTGCTGTAAATCAGGATGTCATCGAAGAAGACAAGGACGAACCGACGGAGGTGGGCGCGCAGCACGTCGTTCATGAGCGCCTGGAACGTCGCCGGGGCGTTGCACAGCCCGAACGGCATCACCAGGAACTCGTATAGGCCGTCATGGGTGCGGAACGCCGTTCTGTGAATGTCCCCCGGCCGCATCCGCACCTGATGGTACCCCGACCGCAGGTCGAGCTTGGTGAAGAAGCGCGCCCCGTGGAGCTCATCAAGAAGCTCGTCGACGACGGGAATGGGGAACGCATCTTTGACGGTGAGGGCGTTCAAGGCGCGGTAGTCGACGCAGAAGCGCCAGGAACCATCCGCCTTCTTGACGAGGAGGACCGGTGGCGAGAACGCGGAGTCGCCGCGGCGGATGATGCCTCGCTGGAGCATAGCGAGCATTGGCGCTCAGCTTCGTCCTTGTCGTCGCCGGGTACCGCAGACGGCGGGCAACCCACCGCCCCGCGTCCGGCTTGAGGGTGATGTTGTGGTCGCGGCCGCGGGGTGGTGGCAGTCCCTTGGGCTCGGTGAAAACGTCCGCGAACGTGGCCTGCAGCTCATCGAGGAGCGGCGCACTGGCCATGGTGGAGTGGAGCTGCGGCGCGGCGGCGATCGGCATGCCGGTCCAGTGTACGATGCGCCCGTTGAGCTGAAGCGCCATGGAGGGGGCGGCGAAGTCCCAGACCACTGGCCCGAGGGTGGCCAACCACTGAGTACCGAGCACCACATCGAAACCTGCAAGTGGCATGACAAACAGATCGATGTTGAAGGAGGTGCCGGCGATGGTGACTGGGGCTGCGCGGATAACCCCAGGGCACGCGACCCGCTCGCCGTTGGCCACGACGGCGGTGAGCCGAGGTCGGGGCTCCACCCGAAGGCCCGTGCGGTCCGTTGCCCCGGCGGAGATGAAGTTGTGGGTCGAGCCGCTGTCGAGGAGGGCGACGGGTGAGGCGGCACCCACGGCGACGGCGAGCTGCATCGTGCCGCCGCAGGCCACGCCGACGACCGCGTGCAGGGAGAAGACGGGGGCCTCCAGGTCCCCGGACTCGGCCACAGCGTCCCCCCCGTCGTCGTCGATGTCCACGCCCTCGAGGAAGAAGATGCGCTTGCAGAACCTGTTATGGCCACGAGAATACTTTTCATTACGATTAAGCGAGCCCTTGGCGGCGCCATTCTCGCCATCTCCTCCGGGTGAGACGCATTGATTACCTCGCCACGGCCTGCTTTGCAGGGCCCATTGGGGGGGAGGAGCGCCAAGCAGGGCGGCTCATTGCTGGTAGCGCGGGCCTTGCCGCTGCCGCGGGGATGACGCCACGCTAGGGAGCCCGAGCCGGGGGAGGCGGCGGCCGTAGGCCTCCATTAGCTCCACTTGTCTTGCCAAACTCATGGCCGCCATGCGAGACTCCGGGTTGTGGATGCGACGGATGGCATGGGCTGGCGGCGACAGAGTCCGCCGGTGAAGAGCTGAACGCGCTGCGGCTCGTCCAGGCGGCCCGCTCGAGGCAGGAGGGCCTGGCGGTTGGCGTACTCCTCCACGGTCCCGGTACGCCGGCACTCCGTGAGCTCAAACAACGGTGCGGGCGCGCAGGGAGGATCGAACCGCGAGCTCAGCGATCCTTGAAGTTGGCCTGACGACGCGCCGCCGTCCTCCATGAGTTGGTCATACCAGAGTTGCGCGACGTCGTCCAAGTGATACGAGGCCATCCGGACGCGCTCTCCGCCATATAATCTGGTCTTTGTCGAATCGCCTCGCATTTGTTGAGGAAGAGCATCGGGTCGGTCGTGCCGTCAAAGCGGGGAAAATCCCACCTCTTGGGCTTGGGCGGAAGATCGACGTCGCCAGCGTCTTGCGTCGGGGTGACCGCCCGCGTGGCCGTCCCCTGAGGGCGCCGACGTTTCCTTCAGGGCCGCCATCTCCGCTTTGCATGGCGGGACATGTCCGTCAGTGATGGCTCAGAGCATCTTCATGACGTCGGCAAGGGTTGGCTCGGCCATGGCTGGAGGCGGAGACGCGATGGATTGGGGCGACGGTGGTCGGTGGTGGGTTTTGGCGGCGTCGGAGGAAGAGGCGCGGTGGACGAGGATCGTCAGTCACCGATACCGAGTTGTCAAGAGCGTCTCGATCCGGGTAGCGGGCCCTCGACTACGGAGCTCGTAGCCTCCGGCCAAGTCTTCGAGTATGGAGGTTATACCCTCACAACCGCTGGGCTTAAGCACGATCGAGAGAGAGAGAGAAGGAGATAGGTAATTGATCTTGCTTAATTTCCAATAGTCCGAGTACAATCCATATAAGAGCCAACCGCCAACTAATTTTGAAACAAACCCCCTAATTTTGTGGCTCGATCTCCTCCTAGCCACTAGGATTGGCCACGCCATCTGTGTTCGCGATAGACGCAGCAAGCTGCGTCATGCTGCAGCGCCCTCGCTCTCTCATGACCCGCTTCGGCTGCCTGGACGTCATACATACCCCGGCAAGGCGTCAGCGCGCATACACTCTGCCCCACATGACACAAGATATGCAGTAGCTTCAAAAACATCTGATGTTGACGCATATAGAGCATTTGGCATCCTTACTAGCTGCTGAAAAGTAACACCCTCCAGAGCATAGTCAAAATTCTGTAATTCAGTAAGGTCGAAAGGAACATCAAAAGCTGGCTTCCTGAAACCACAATCTTCACTGTGACCAGAGAACCAATCCTCAAGGCTTGAAGTTAAAAGTTCACTGTCCACAAACTTCCGGAGAAAATCTTTGCATGTTGATGATGAGAAATTACGGTGTCGACCTCGTGAGGAAGTACTAGACTTTTTTAGCACTGAACCGACTGATATATGGTCAGGTGATTGGTCTGCAAAACGGCGTCAAATCCCTCAGTTACTAAGTGTTAAGTTTGTATGCAATGGATGTTCAAGTAACTCAATATAAAGACTTCGAGAAATTATAGGATCCAAGATGAGCAATCAAACAGTAACATATAAACAATATGGTACTGATTACTGAAGATAGCAAATCTAGCACGAAACAAAACTTGACAAGATAAAAATGACACCTACAAGTTACCTTACAAAGATTGCCTACTAGGTTTAGTCAATACCTACATGCCAAAAAGAGTACAATCATATATGGGCATGAATTAAATATGGACCCAACAAGTCCATACAGGTCAAAGAAAAATATAGAAACTTAAATATGGACCCAATGTTCAGGACAATTAGGATCAGAGAACGATCACCAACCTAGTAACAAAAACTTCTCAAGTCAACCTGAGTTTACAACAATAATTACCAGAAACCCAAGAATTACTGAAATAACCAAATATGACTAGTAACTTTATTTATGGGACAACCAGAATTCTGAGTAACCAAATGTAGTAATCCCATCCTATCCTTCATTCCTTCTACAAAACTTTACACGAACATAGCAACTAAATAGATGGATTGTTCTGGGGAAATTGTGCCACATGATCATGTCCATGTGTGCTTGCTCAGTTGTTGCTCCTAATACCTTAGTATCAATTGGCAACAGTCAACCCAATATTTGAACACCCAAAAAGAAACTGTGAAACCTGTCAGTGTTAAAGATTTTACCATGGTAGCCACTGCTACAAAGGAAATGTAGATGTTTACCGTTTCAAAATATATGATAGGAACTTCTGCTAGAACTGAACTGAATTGACATTCCTACATTTTCCACAAAAACTCAGAAACTTAGGCGGCTGAATGTGCAGTGAATTCTAAACTTTGGTATTGTTCAACTGCACTTGTGACTCGCGAGACGTGGATAGTAATTTATGTAGTATAATTTTGAAACTAATCCACGGGAGTGTACCTGCTTTCCTTTCTGCATAGTAGAATACCCATGTCAATTTCGTTCACTGGTCGGACACATGATACTCAAACCTAACAGAGTCGCGTAATCCTAAAATTGAATTGGCCTGACTGTAAAATAACTTAATCTTATATGCATATTACAAGCATACATATCACCAGCAAAACATAGGAAGCCCATATAGTATGTATGTAAGAGGGTTTAATTTCACTCCATATCAAGCACTCAACTAGGGACAGGACTTACTTAGACTTGAATCAAGCATCACATTTTCGAAGTTAAAATCAAAGGTTGGGATCCTAAGGGTGTCAAGCCAAATCGAACCTTTGCCTGCTGCTCTCCCAAATCCCAGCGACATATACCCACTCCGAGAATCAAGCCCCCCCAAAAAAAATCAAAGAGCAGCATAGGCTATCCACCCAGAATTTGTTGTACAAATGTATTGTACTGCTTCGGCAAAGGTGCAGACCCCAACCGGTAAAAAAATTCCGGTCACGCCTAAACTCGTACGGCTCGCGGAAACGCCGCGGCAGATCTAGAATGAAGGAAAGCTATCTGTTCAAAGGAGGAATCAAAATCCAGCAGAGAGAGAGCTCGGAGCCGTACCTTCCATGAGGCGGTCGGGTCGTCGTCCTCGTCCCCCAGGGCGGGGCCGGGCCGGGCCAGCGGCTGCAGGGGCGCTAGATTGGAGCGCCTGCTGCTGGAGCTAGAGCGATAGGGCGACTACTCCCCCAACTGCCTCCGCGCTCCGTGGTGGCTGGACGGCAGCCCCAACTCACTCCAAGAAAAGACATCCGCGTCTCCCTCCGGCACCAGGCGGAAGCAGATAGAAAAAGGTGTCATTTTTATCGAGGGAAATCCATCGGCTTCTTCAGTCTCCACCGATCCCCGGTCCCCGGATTCCGGTGGTGAGCACCGCGCACGCACGCGCACTGCGGAACGGCGAGCTTGAGCCGGAACTGACTGACTGATTGCCCGCCCCGTTCCGTTCCCCAGTGTTTTTTTTCTTTCTATAGGAGAGTCGGTGGGAGATGGGGAGGAGAACAGAGAGCCTTTTTTTTGTGCGTGCAGTTGAGTGGTGTGTGCTGTGCCTGTGTGCGCTGTAGCTGCGCTGTGCTGTTGTGGGCTTTTGCTACTATTTCTTGGTTGTTCACGCCTGCTGGAATCTATACTCTCAGAAAAGAATATAATTCTTTTTTTTTATCATAGTATAGTTTAGTATCCTAAGTCCTGTCAACTATAGATAAAAAAGTATCAATATTTATAATAATAAATAAATATCATTAGATTAATAAAAAAGTATCCTAAGTTCTTTTTTTTTTGTTTTTTCCTTCTTTTTTGCTCCACGGGCAGGGATGAAAACGGATCGGACACGGATGATATCGTCGATATTATATTTGTTTTCATATTTTTGTTGGGATTTGGATTCGAATACGGATACAGCTATATCAGATTGGGTATCAACATCATAAATATGCGATTTTAGTATTCGGATATGGATACGGTATCGGATATTTAATATCCAGACTCAGATATGGACAGATGTGAACTCCTCTAGACGGACTGGGTCTCAAATACTATACTTCCTTAACGACGAATAAAATTGAGGCCGTGGCACTGTAGCTGACATGACTTTTTTCTGTTTTTGTTTTTCCTTTTTTTTATCACGAGTAGTGATGAAAACGGATTACATGCGGATATATATCACCGATATTATATTTATTTTCATATTTCTGTTCGGATTCGGATTCGAATACGGATAGGATACGAATGGATATCGACATCATAAATATGCGATTTTATTATTTGTATTATATGGATATGGTAGATATGGACAGATATAAACTCGTCTTTAGGAATTGGGTCTCAGTCGAAAATTATCATTACCGTTTTCACCCCTAATTCCAGGTATGTTGAACTGCATGTTTGTATATGTTATAATTTGTCAGGCAAAAAGTTGCTGCCGACTGACAAGATTCCAAATGCATATTTTTTAGGTGTATATATGACGCATGCAGTAGTGCTAGTGAAGTTCTCGATGTTGAAATTAAGGACCTTGCCTATTCATTAATCCATATTGAATATACCACTAGCTCCTTGTGTTTGGAAGTGGCTATATATAACTATGCCACTGAATTAGAGGGTGCAGTGAACTCAGGGACTGAGGTTGCATTGCACAGGTGCACAGTGAAGGCATGCTTGGTGTTGCTGGTGAGACCGTGAGAGCAAACATATGGGGGCCTCTGGCCCCGGTGGGTGAAGACTTTCCCATAATTGTGAAATGATGATGCATGCTTTAGGTAATCAAGCAACACTTTCGAAAGGACGAACCAGGTCAATTTCTGTCACTCCCTCCGTTTTAAATTATGTATACTGGTCCATCAACCCGTGCTCTTGCACGGGCTAGAATTATAAAAGATATACTATTTCATACATTTGACAAATGCAAAGTTACTTATATTAAATTGTATGTTTTTTTAGTTTATTTCCTACAAAATAGACACAATACATACTTCATAGACTATATCTAATTATCAAAAACTTATTATTTTTTTGCAAAGGGACTGACTTATATATTTTTCATCCATATTCATATTTTAATTAGAACGGCACCTCCGTATATTTTAATATACAGCTAGTTTGAAACCTTGCCATTAACTCTGGTGGCCCATGTTGCATCACATATTTTATGAAGTCATGAATCTATTTTTTTCAAATCTTATTTTTATTGACCCCTACAGGTTTTTTTTCCTCAAGTTGAAACTCTTGTGCTTATTGTATCTTTTACTGACTCTCATTTTGCACTGTTTTAAAATAAGAATTTTAGGTCGTAGAATACATTCTTAAATACTACAATAGCATACGCAATTATTCAAAACTTGCATCATATCACTTAAGATAAGTGTTAGCTTGAAATGAGATCTTGGATGGGGGTAACAGTTCTAACATCAAGAGAATTTTAAATCTTAAGCCTTATAATGAATTTTTACTCTAAAGCAATGTTAAAGGTCCGAAAAAAATATAGCCACCAGTAGTCTCGCACAATTCTGAAGATGATTGAATTTTCCTATAAAGAAATTATATGTGCAGTTATAATTATAATATCAATATAAACATGTCAAACATTTATTTAAAATATATATAAATATATCTAAAGTAACAACCTATATAAATTATGTCATGATTAATAATATGGTTTTACAAAATTTATTAGTATCATTAGTATATGAGTTGTTAAGGAAATAATATTTTTGATGAAACATAACATATATATTCATTGCTCATGCTTAATTAGTCAAATCTTAATATAGTAACACGACAAGTGGGCAATGCACAAATCTTAACATGGGGGTTATATTTTATATGTAGATTTGAGAACACATTTAATTTTTTAATAATAAGATGAAAATTGGGTTACATAAATTATCTACTATAATAGGAGTACGTGGGCAATTAGACGTAAATTGAGATCTATGTTAGATCATGTTTCTTAATGGTACATGTGGGTAGTTTAAATACAGAGTCATGAGTTATAATATGTTGTTTCACGCAATAGCGGAGGTGGGTAATTATTTAGAAAATATAATAGATCCAATACCTATTATTATCAATGGTGATTAGATTATACCAAATTGATAGTCAAATGTTTTAGATTTTTGTGAGAATTTCTAGGTTTTTTGTTTTCCTATTGTCTCTCACGAGGATTAAAGTAGAAACTCCATTAAGGAACTCTAGTTAGCATCTCTGGTATTTAATTTTTTAGCATGATATGTATTTAGTTGGAATCTAATCTTAAGATATATAAAATCTTGTTGCATCCCTTTCTGTGATTCCACGAATTATAGTTTAGGTTTCAACCTTTAATCAAGTTGTACAATTTTTTTCCACATGTTAAGTAGAAACTCTAGTTTTTTATGTTTTATTCAAAATTTATTTTTTATTAAAAAAAGTTTATGTCCTAGTAGTATTGTTTTTCGCATGATAGTTAAGTTGAAACTCATATTGCACCTTAGCACCGAACTTGTTGAATTGTTATATCACAGAATTATATGTGTATAATATTGTTTTTATATATCATAGAGTGCTAAAAAAGAAATTACCAATATGGATATGACATAATGTTTCAATTAAAATATAAAAAATTATCTAAAATAACAACTTATGAAATTGATTATTATGGAGTATTAATATAATTTAAAGTGAATTATCGGTGTTATGTTATTGCTATGTGGTTTGTTAATTAAACATTTGCCATGCTTATAAGCTATTAAAATAAATAATTATCCTAATGTGTAATTGTCGACACAGAATTTTCGTCCCGTGCCGAGGACACACGTAGCAAACCGGAAGGGTCTGCTCGATGGAGTTGTAGATCCGCCTAGCTTCAGCGCAGGGATGGTCGATCCTACGTACTCTTCTCGAGATGTGCCAGTCAATTTGACCCTGTAATTGACAAAGAGAGAAGGTTTATCAGTAATTAAGGGTGAAACATGCCGGTGTTGCCAGACAGTCCCGAATGTGCGGCTCTGAGAGCCAATATGAACGAAGATCGACTAAATAGTCGATTCCAGCATATTCGTGAGAATAAATCGGTTAAATCTCATTGGGTCATATAAGAAGAATCGATTATCATTCAGGATAAATGTTGTTATTTGAACAAATATTAATCAATAGCAATAAGATGTCAACAATGATTGGTTTATGCTAAGCCAATGATTACAAGTAACCGAACCCATTTCTATATAAAGAAACAATTCAACATCATTTTACCGTTTAATAAAGATAAATCTAATGAACATGTTAGATCTCATCTATCGCTATGACCAGTGGAGTATGAGGCAGAATCATGCAAGCCGTAGAAATAACAATAGACTCGACGACCCTAACTCATTACTAATATCAGTGGGGCATGGGGCAGAATCATGCAGACCATAATACAATAATAAGATCATGGGGCTAACACATCTTTTAACCTACCTTTACTTCAACAGTCTCGTGATGCGAACTATTCGTGAAAGCACTCGATATCGACTAAAAACAACCGATTTAGGCATAGCGCACAGTTAAAGTCATGCCTTATCAGGAATAGATCTACCAAATAACGATCCCCACTCCACGGTGCTAACAGTGGGGTGTGAGGCAGAATCACACAGGCAGTGATAACGGGCCATGAAACGGTTTTCACTAGCCAATAAATCTACTCAAGACGCAACATGCATTAGCCGCACGCTATGCACGATCAAGATTGATGTAAAACAGCCGATAAAACATAACTCATCGTTTAATGTGTAGATGAGATCAGTTTTAGATTAACAAACGACGGGCTAAACAAGATATAAGGCCAATCTAGATCAATCCTAATCGGGCAGAGTGATATTGCTGTAATTAGATAAATAATGAAAGCAATAAGCAACATCGATAACTTAATGAATCTACCAAAGACTGCCATTCTAAGGTAGAGCCGATAACTTAACCTTGATCTAGTTCATGCAGTGAGGATCGACTGGATCGATGCAGCCATACTTGAACTAGGTAAGAATCGATAACTAACTTATACCAGAGTTACAGTGGAGGTCGATCGGATCGATACAGCCGTACGAACAGAGGTATAAG